AACATGGCTAAAATTCAAGGAATGACAAAAGAATTGTTCTTTCATATCCACAAGACACAATGTGCACACGTACCAAACACAAATATGCATAGATGAACACACACGGGAGAAGGGACAATTCTGCATCTAGAGCTAGGGTGGCTGTTTAACTTATTGTGTATACCAAAGCTTATGATAAAGAAGGTCTCTACTAGAGAAATTCTAGGACGATGTATGAAAACCATTACAATGTGGGATGGTTATCTTAAATCTTTGGAAGGGCAGTCTCTCAAATGTAAATTATGATTTGAAGAGTTCCTTATTTGAATAAGTTCATCAAAGTCTATTTGCTGATACTGTGGCTTTTCCAGAGGTGTGGCTTCCAGTGACAAGAGCTGCTGATGCAGCTGTGCTTGGGTAGGGTTTCCAAGCTGTTAGAAATTCCATGTGAAACACAGAAAAGAAGTCCAGTCAATTTGCTGCTGTCCGGATGATTATCTGCCTAGTACATAATCTTCTAGACCCTTATTCTATTTCACCAGTTACTCAGCAATATGTTAGTTCTGATAAGAGAATTTAATGAGGAAGAAATGGAAACTCTTACAGTAGATGGGTTTGGGGAATTACCAATAGATTCCAATTACCCATGTTACTCTTATTGAAAGCTGACTGAGTGTGAGGGATGATTCAGCTGGGTGGTGTGAATGCTATTGTGATTTGGTTATTTATTTACTTATTTACTTATTTATTTATTTATTTATTTTATATTTGGGACAACATCTCATTAAGCAGCCCAGGATGACAAGAAACTCACTATGTAGTCAAGGATGGCCCTGAACACTTGCCTGAAATTCCCAAGTGCTAGGACTATAGACATGAACCCCACTCGGCTCTATTATGTGTGTTTATGAACATACAGATGCTCATTTCACCAGTTCTGTTATCTAAGGTTAATAAGATCTGAAAAATTACCAATGATCATGGAAATTAACTTGCAATAAAGATAATTAACAAAGTCATGCGATCATTCAATATCTTATTACTAAAAGTTATGCTCTGGGTACTAAGAAGGACTAAACATTATGAAGTACTTTAGTGTGTGTGTGTGTGTGTGTGTGTGTGTGTGTGTGTTCATGTGTGAGTGAAGGTATGTATGTGCATGATATGCATGTGCAAGTCAGAAAACAACACGTGGTATCAGTCCTCACCTTCCACCTTGTTTGAAACAGATGACCTGCTGTTGGCTGCTGTGTTTGCTGGATGCCCGGCTAGCTGGCCCACAGGCTCTGACAATTCTGCTGTCAGTGCCTCTAGTTTCCTGGATTGAGAATAGGGGGCTTACTCAAGCTTGTGTTGATGCTTCTGACTTTTTAAATTATTTATTATTTTTATTCTATGTGTATGAGTGTATTGCCTGCATGTAGGTAAGTGCACCAGTTTCGTGCAATGCCCACGGAGAATAGAAGAAGCCATAGGATCCCCTGGAACTGGAGTTACAGACAGATGTTAGCTGCCATGTGGGTGCTGGGATTTAAACCCGGGTCTTCTGCAAGAATAACCAGTGTTCTTAACCACTGAGCCATCTCTCCAGCCTACTGCTTCTGACTTTTACATGGTTCTGGGCATCCAAATTCAGGTCATCAGACTTGAATGACAAGTTCTTTACCACTGAGCCAGCTCCCCAGCCCATGAGTTCCTTTTTTTAAAGCTAGGCAAACAATTACAACTCAAATGGTATGTGATATGTGACTAAATAATAACTTATTAAACATTCTTTTAAATACATTAACATGGAAACATCAAAAATAGGATTTGAAATACAAAGGATATACTATGGATGTTATAAACTTAGGAACACACAAAGATGTTGCCTAATTAGCAGCAGCCCATGCCCAGATCTGTTGGAAAGTGTGTTCACAAATCCAGATCCTGACCAGGCACTTCTAAATCCAAAGCACATCCCTGTAGAACCTGAGATGTTTCTTACCTCTTTGGTTTTAGTACTCTCAAGACTTGTTTCTCACTTGTGTGTACTAACGAGCTGTTACTGTAAGTGACTTGGGAATTATTGTTTTATATTCACTTGAGAAATCAGTATTGTCTATTAAACCGGACCGTGAATTTCTGAGTTAGGAGAAGTTTTTTGATTCCTTGTTTTATCTTCCTTCAAGATCTAACAGGCTTTTGAATATATTTAGGCTGAATGCATGAAATTGCCTGAATTGGACACTTCTGATATGTAAAAAAGGTAATTTTATATGGTAAAACTTATTCATAATTGCTAGAGAAATAATTGTGGAATGAATTCTACTATATTTAAAACTTTTAATTCTTATTTGTACATAAAGATATATTCACATGTGTATAAGAGATATATATACATCTATGCTGATGAAACCATTTAGAATTGATGAATGGTGATGCACGACTATAGAAACTTAGAGCTCAGAAGTTTAATAAGGACTGTGTTCTTAGAGATAAAGGTTGTGTTATAGCTTGCAGTGCAGTCTGCTGGTTTAGGTTCCTCAAAAGATGCATATATGCAAGAAAGTAGAAAGTCAAGTTAGAGCCACCAAATCTAGAGCTCACCTTTTTTGATGGTGGGAATCTTTGATTGCCTGAGAAATTTGATGTGTTTATATAGTTGCCATAGGAACTTCACTTGTTAATCAGGTTTTTTTTTTTTAGCCCTGTGTAATTTTTTTTTTTTTTGGAGACAGGTTCTTGCTAATTACCACAAGCTTGCCTAGAATCATTATATATCCAGGCTCTCCTCACCACACCTGACTGGTTTTAGTCTTTTGAGTAAGTACCAAGCCTCCAATAGATGTCAGCTCAGTAGCTTCCAGACATGATTTTTAAAAACAGAAATGAATACAGCCACCTCTTTCCTGTGGAAATGACTATATCTGGGAGACAGGTTCTTGCTAATTACCACAAGCTTGCCTAGAATCATTATATATCCAGGCTCTCCTCACCACACCTGACTGGTTTTAGTCTTTTGAGTAAGTACCAAGCCTCCAATAGATGTCAGCTCAGTAGCTTCCAGACATGATTTTTAAAAACAGAAATGAATACAGCCACCTCTTTCCTGTGGAAATGACTATATCTGAGATCCCACCATAAATAACTAACTGATTATTAGATTATTTTCTGGGACTGTACACTTGTGATAACATTATCCTGCCTAATAATATTAGTATTAGACAATCTTTCTTCGGGATGTTTATGATATGCCAGGCATTGTTTTGAGCACTTCACAGCGAACACCTCATTCTGTCCTGGCCTCACTTCCTTTGAGGGAAGTAATATTATTATCTTCATTTTTCAGATGAGGAAATGGAGGCATCCAGAGGTTGCTACTTGCTGGAAATCACACAACTCACAATGAGGATCTGGCTGGCAGATCCAGGCACTGTGGCTCCAATCCTTCAAACAGCACACAGACTCACCAATAAGAATGTACCCATCTTAAAATGAAAATGACTTGAAAATCCTTTAGATTTGTGAAATGCACAGTATCTGGTAATAGTTTGAAGTTACAGAGTTGAAAATGTACCTGAAGCTTGGACACTTACAGCTCATTTCTCTTATAAAAAGCTCAAAATAATTTGAGTTACAAAGACTTAGTTTCCTACATTAATAACTGGAATTTATAGCACCAATTTTTCCATAGGTAATTTATAACATGAGAAAGAACAATAAAATACCTATTAAGAGCTCTTCATTAGACAGGTTTATTTTATATTTAGTTATGAATGGAATACATGTGTTATAGTTTTCATCTTATATGTTCAGAAAGGTTATGTGCTGAACACTTTGTCCCAAGCCTGTGGAGCCCCTGGGAGAAGGTGGAACCTAGGAGGTGGGGTGTGATGGAAGGAAGTCAGATCATTAGAGGCATGCCCTTGATGGGAGACAGGCAACTTTGGTTCCCTCTTATGCATTCCCACACCACTATTCTAGCTTATTACAGAATCAAATGCAGAAGAATATGGACTCGATCCTATGAAACTATGAACTGAGATAAATCTCTCCCTTTAAAGTCATCCATCTTTAGTGTTTGGTCACATCTGTGGAAAGCTGGTAAATAGACCATGAAAATTCTTGGGTGTGTTTAATGCTCATCTATACTGTTTTCTAGTGCGTTTATTAATTTTTTAATATGTTGTAACGAGGAATTTATACAAAAGTCACACAAGGAGACTTTTAAATAATGCTGATTAACTTGGTACAGTACTCAACACATTGATATATATTTATGTGTATCTATAAAATGTATGTCCATGCATACAAATGTATGTGATATATTTGTAATATGTATGTATGCAACATATTTAGTAAAATAATTTCTGTTCATTTACGTATGTGTGTTTTGTATAATTAAAAATGTCAGTATTTCAGTAAATAAAATGATCTAGTGTAATCAATCTCCTTTAAGTTCGAACGAGAAGCAGTTTGTTGTCCTCTGTAAATCAGCATTAAATAGTGACAAAGACTTAGTTGGGGGAATCAGGACCTTGGATATTTCGCCTTACGTTTTGGGTCTTGGGTGGATTGACTGAAAAAGTGGGGTAAACTACATGAATAATTACAATGATTTTCAGCAAGTATCGTAAAGCAGGATTTCCAGCCGCATGGCCTGTGCTTTAGGAACTGCAGCTGTACATGCTCTCCCCTTTAGAATCATATGCAAAGAAGAGTAGCTATAAAGTTTGCTCCAATATGGACTGAATGCAACACACAAGATCAAGTCACTGAAGACCTGTGCAGACTGTCCACATGCAAGGGGCTCTCTTCCATGAGTACGTTTGTAGTGAGTTGGACTGAGTTCTCTAGCAACAAAGTTAACATTTTCAAATTAGGACTCAGAAATCCTTTCCATGAACTGCATTTTTTTTTTAATCAACATCAAGGCATACTTAGGATGTTTCCCTACTTAAGGAAGCATACTTGAAAGGTCAAGCTCAGGTAGTGTACAAGGTCAACTGGTGGGCATCAGTGGTATCAGGCAAAGTTACCTTTTTACAGGCTGTGATGGCGCCCCCCAGGCGGCCTCCTGAGCTGCCGATGCCCTGCTGCGATTCTGAAACTTCATGCATCAGTGGTGACTCCAAGTTTCTGTGTGTGCCCCCAACATGAAAGAAAGAACAGAGTCCAATGAGTCACCTATTTAAAAGTGCGTAGAGGATGAAGCAAGACAAGTCATCAAAACACATCTTTTCCTCCTGCATCCAACACTGCCAGCCCTCCTGCT